GGTACTCATCATTATACACAATGCAAACACTCAGCACATTTGTAGGCACTCATTTATATCAAACAAACCCAGTACGAATAATAAGCAATAGTTTGGGATCTGGCACAACACTTAATTACCACAGCCAGAGGCCAGAAAATGAAATCAGGGTCATATATCTGAATCTTTCTGGCATCCTATAACCCAAAGCACCACCAGGGAGGTACACCTTGGAGCAATGGGAGCACTGTCATCCAGAAGACACTGTCCCCTCACTTTCCTCCAAAACCAGCACAGCTGTTTGGATGAGGGCTATCTGCCGTATTTACAGTGAGACTAAGATATATATATACACACCCTGGCGCTTCGCCTGATTTCTTCTGTGAAGTCCATCTGTTTATCCAGTTCCAGATCCCAAAAGGCAGTCACCAAAAACTAAATAGTGAGAAGGGACAGGGTTTTTTTTCTTTCTTTTTTGATAAACATGTTACAGTGAACAAAACAGATTTTGCAAACACATTCCATCTAGTAAATCTTACCTCACAGCTGTGTGAGAAGGACTTGGAGGAGAAAAGGATGGGGAGCAGGAGGGTCTCAGGACTTGATTGGAGAATCAGAAACCCACAAGGGTGGGACAGTTCAGTACTATCTACTTTTTTTTTTCTTTTTCTCTTTTTTTTTTTTTTAACAAAAGTTTATTCTTAAATGTACAACAGCTCCAAGACAACACTTAATTCCAGCTTTAGATGGCAAAAGATGTTACGGCAGGGAATATAGATGTTTAAATAAGGATGAAATAAAGGGTCACCATCTCCTCAGGCACGAGGAACAGCTTACTTTTTGCTAGATTTCTTAATTCCACCTGTGGCCAAGGGCCCCTTCCCCGCAGCCTTCGCTTTTAGCTCCTCGAGTTTCTTCTGCTCCTCTTTTTGTTTCTGCTTGAAAGCCTTATCTTCCTCGTCCGTCTCCTTGGCCTGCTTCTTAGGCTGTTTCAGTGACTTCTTCTTGCCATCTTCACAGCTGGACATGGCGCCTGCTGCCCCTTCCCCAGACCCTGCCACCAGACTCTTTTTTTTTCTTGAGATGGAGTCTCTCTGTGTCACCTAGGCTGGAGTACAGTGGCACAATCTCGGATTACTACAACCTCGGCCTCTTGGCTTCAAGCGATTCTCCTGCCTCAGCCTCCTGAGTAACTGGGATTACAGGCGCTGGCCACCATGCCTGACTAATTTTTGTATATTTAGTAGAGACAGGGTTTCACCATGTTGCCAGGCTGGTCTTGAACTCCTGACCTCAAGTGATTCATCCACCTCGGCCTCCCAAAATGCTAGGATTACAGGCATCAGCCACCGCCCCCAGCCTATCTACTTCTTATAGGGTGATAATTGGCTTTTTCCCTTCATTCTAGCCCCCATCCTAAACCTGGGATCTGTGATGGGCTCACCAAAGATAAAGATCTGTCTGCAGACGTTAGCTTCTTTTGCTGAAAAGCTGATCTAGCCAGACTTTATCTTCAAAGGACAGGCCCTGCACTTCTGATGTTCCCTGAGCCTCTCCCACTGAGCCTGCTCTCATCCACTGCAGCCATGATGCTCTCTGGATTCAGACAATGGTGTGTTGTCCCAGAACACCGTGTCTGGCCTATTTCTACTTCACGTCTACCCCTTTGGCTAGGAAAATGAGGGACACAGCTCACATCAATAACTTGGATTCTGAAGACCAAGGACAAGCAGAAGAAACTGACCTTTTGCCTCAGAGGCGGCTGGATGTTTGTGTGTCTCTCTGCAATGTGGAATTGGCTCACTGAACCACTCAACAGTTGTTTTTTAAAAATGTTCTGCTCACTCCTCATTTGCGGGTCAGATGCTTTGGATAATCCAGTGGAATTCTCTCTGCTTCACTGCTGGTTGCTGCCAGACACAGAGTGCTAAATCCTGTCAGTCGGTGACTTGAAATGATGATGTGTGAAACAGTGCTGTGATTTGGACATCCTGCACTCATTTGCACGGACTCCTTTGCCAGTTAACCACAGTAGTGAAATGGGGCAGCCTGGGGCAGCTTCCACAGCCCTTGCCTTATCTTTCCTCAGTGTCCCCACCCTCCCCCATGGCAGTATGTAGCTCCCTTGGAATTCTGTTTCATTCAATATTATTCCCTTCCCAGGCATCATAGAGCAATTTCTTTAACAGAGTGCAACATGCCAGAGACAGAGAAATAGCATTTGTGTGCAGAATGGAGAAGCAGGAAGCAAAACACTCTTGTTGCTGGTTCCCATCTCCCTGTCTTTGCCCTTCCTTCTTTCCCTAGATTGCATGGCTGCCTCCTTCTCATCTGGTGCGTTCTCAGTTCAAATGGTACCTTCTCAAAGATGAGCCTGGCACAGCCGTCTCATGTGGTCCCACCCTCTGTCACTGTGTATCACACCACCCTGCCTGATTTCTGTCATTGCTCTGCTCACTTCCTAAAAGTATTTCTTTCTTTGTTACTTTTTATTGCCTGTCTCCCCAACCACCACTGCCACACATACACACTAGAATGTAAGTACCATGAAAATAGGAATTTTTATCTGTCTTATCCCTTGCTGTTTCCCCAGAATCTAGCACTGTCCCTGGCATACCTTTGACACTTAGTATATTGACTAAATAAGTAGCTAAGAATGTAGCAATTAAGAACTTCTTTTTTTTTTTTTTTTGAGACGGAGTCTCGCTCTGTCGCCCAGGCTGGAGTGCAGTGGCCGGATCTCAGCTTACTGCAAGCTCCACCTCCCGGGTTTACGCCATTCTCCTGCCTCAGCCTCCCGAGTAGCTGGGACTATAGGCACCTGCCACCTCGCCCAGCTAGTTTTTTGTATTTTTTAGTAGAGACGGGGTTTCATCATGTTAGCCAGGATGATCTCAATCTCCTGACCTAGTGATCCGCCCGTCTCGGCCTCCCAAAGTGCTGGGATTACAAGCTTGAGCCACGGCGCCCGGCCAGCAATTAAGAACTTCTAAAGCAAATATCCATGGTTACTATCAGGAAATAGTAAAGGCAGACAGAGAGTTTGAGGAATGGAATGAGAAGACATGATTTCTCATACTAATTTTAATAATGGTCTTAATTACAAATTGAATATGTTAAGTCAAAGATCACAATATTGAGTCGCTCTTCATTTCTTCTGACTCAGACTAAACTGCCCCTTATTGAGTAGGTTAGGTCAGGGTCATAGAGACCAAGCACTACAAACTTCCTGGCCAAACTGGCATAATTGATGCCACAAAGGATGCCCACTTCCAGATTTCCATTGGACGGTGCCTGGCTTTGCTTTCCTTAGGGCAGGTGCCAGAAGAAACTGGCACAATTTAAAGCAGTTTAAAGCCCAGCTTGGGTATCTTCATCTAGCCTTTATTATATTCTTGCCTGCCTTCAGTTCCCAAAAAGACTGCATTCCTGTCTGCAGCTCCAGGGCCCTGCAGCCCCTTCAGTCATAAAGGCCATGGAGGTGGGTTAGCCCTGATCTGCCCAGCGTGAGACAGTATGACCAAGAGAACACATCTTTTTTTTTTTTTTTGAGACAGAGTCTCTCTCTGTCACCCAGGCTGGAGTGCAGTGACGCGATCTCAGCTCACTGCAAACTCCACCTCCCAGGTTCATGACATTCTCCTGCCTCAGCCTCCTGAGTAGCTGGGACTACAGGCACCCACCACCATGCCCGGCTAATTTTTTTGTATTTTTTTAGTAGAGACGGGGGTTTCACCATGTTAGCCAGAATGGTCTCGATCTCCTGACCTCGTGATCCGCCCACCTCGACCTGAGCACACATCTTTTAGTCCGGCAGACACATGGCACTCTTCTCCTCAAGAGTCCTTCACCCAAACGAGAATTTTTAGCTTCTCAGAAGTTATCCTTTGTCTTGTTGGGGCAAGATCTGTGCCTAGTGTCAAGAGAGAGATATTAAAGATTAAAGAGCCTCCACCAGGAAAGGGAATGGTTTTGCCTGAATATCTTAATTTGTTTTTTCCCACTACAAGTGCATTCATGTTGCTGGGCTCCCTGGCTTACTCCCCGGTGGTTTGCAGTCGTTTTCATCATGACTTTGTGGTTGCATTGATAATCAGAATGAGTTTCCACTGCTGTAGAGGATGCTTCCATGCTCCATTGCTTTCTCTCTTATGTTGCTAATGACTCTCCTGTTGGTTTCAGCCCTTAGCCAAGCCCACCCCACTCCACACCCAACTCCTTCCCTGTCTTTTATTGATAGCTATGTTGACTTTGCATGCCTCGGTTAGTTCAGTTTTCTGAGCACCTGCAGAGAATTAACCATCTCTGCTTGCTGCTGCGGATCACCTAGGCCTTTGATCTGTTTGATTTCTGTACTTTAAAATGTTGAAGGACTGTCTAACCCCACCAGAGTACATAAATGGTGCTAGAGTCCCTGTAGCCTGACCTCTTCCAGACTAGCTCTGCTTAAGGACCAGAAGATTTTCATGTAAATACAAATGTAGATACCATTTATTAAATGTTTTCTATGTACCATTTTACTGTTCTAAGCACTTAACATGAATATTTCATTTGATTTTTGCTTGTAGAGCTAAAAGGCTATATACATGAACTGGCCTGTTATTTCTCTAACCTCATCTCTTCTTCCTTTCCCTCTTATTCTTTTGGCTCCTGCCACGCTGGTTTCCATGCTGTTCCTCTTACCCAATAGGCACACTCCCTCCTTAAGACTGTAATGGATATTACCTCTGCCTGGAATGCTCTTCCCTCAGATGTCTGTGTCAGTTACTCCTTAACCCCTTCATATCTTTGCTTAGGTGTTACCTTCTCCATGTAACCTACCTAGACCACTCTACATAAAATTGAACCACCAGTACCACCTCATATTCCCTATCTGACTTGCTGTATTCTCTTTTTTTCCATTATACTTATCACTGAATCTCTTAATTTGCCTCGCTTAACTTTCTGTATAGCTTATTTGTTTGTTTGTTTGTTTGTTTATTGAGACTGAGTCTTGCTCTGTCGCCCAGGCTGGAGTGCAGTGGCGTGATCTCAACTCACTGCAGCCTCTGCCTCCTGGGTTCAAGCAATTCTCCTGCCTCAGCCTCCTGAGTAGCTGGGATTACAGGCATGCACCACCACACCCGGCTAATTTTTGTGTTTTTAGTAGAGACAGGGTTTCACCATATTGGCCAGGCTGGTCTCAAACTCTTGACCTCAAGTGATCTGCTTGCCTTGGCCTCCCAAAGTGCCGGGATTACAGGCATGAGCCACTGCGCCCAGCCTATTTGTTTATTTTCTTTATCATTCATTATCTGTTTTCCCCACCGTAAGATAAGCTCCATGAAGGCAAAGAGCTTGTCTATTTGTTCTCTAATGTATCCTAAGCACCTAAAAATAACATCTGACACATAATAGATGCTATATAATATCTATTAAGTGAATGAACTTTGTCTCTTAAAAACCCATGAGGTAGGTTCTTCTGTTATCCCCATTTTATTTGTTTGTTTATTTATTATTGTTTTTATTATATTTTAATGTAATAAAACTATAATATAATAGGGTACACGTGCACAGCGTGCAGGGTTGATACATAGGTATACATGTGCCATGTTGGTTTGCTGCACCCATCAGCTCATCATTTACATTAGGTATTTCTCCTAATGCTATCCCTCCCTCAGTCCCCCAACAGGCCTTGGTGTGTGATGTTCCCCACCCTGTGTCCAAGTGATCTCATTGTTCAGTTCCC